GCCAATTACAGCTAGTCAGCTATCACAGAAATAGAATCGACGCCCTGGACATGTGACTGGATTGCACATTCTTTGTGCGGAATTCTGGAGCGCTTCTTTCCTGGAGGTACTGACCGTTGTTCACTGGTAAAATATAGAAATTAAATAAATCCCAAAGAGTCGCACTTGGCTTTGCTCTCTCTATCTCTTTCTCCCTCCCTGTGTGTGTGTGTATTTGTGTTATCTGCCCACGCGTATAGACATGCCTTCACTGCCACACGCACAAAGGGAGAGCGAGAGAGAGGAGGTGCAGGAGGACGAGGAAAGAGAAGTTCAATTACTCGAATTTTTATTTTGTTGCCGTTGTGATAAAAGAAAGACAACGGAGATCTTATCACTCGCGGCCATGCTGCTCCTCGACTGGCTGCAGGGGGGAAACGCGCAGCTCTCGGGCTCTGGATACGGCTTCAGCCGCTCATTTTTCACATGCCTTTGAATCACTGCCCTCGCACAGGCGATTATAAATCACCAGGAGGCTTCCTATTGATTTATTTCCGAGCGGGTAATCATCTCCGCGCAAATAAGAAGTAGGCCTACCTGTTTCATGAAGCAGGAGACTGGATATTTGCACCCTTTAACAGATAAGGCAATTTATTATTTAGACTTATTATTATTTATAATAATAATAAACTACTGTTACTATTTTAGCTCATTATTATTTTTGGTAAATTACATTTCTAAAAATCCCCTTTCTTGGCTGTTTTAAACACCTGTTAGTCTGATTTGCTCTGTTATTTTCCGCACACTTAAATCTTGAGCTGCTTCATGTCCTGCGGCTGCAGATTTATTGGGCCAGGTCTTCTGATTTCTTTCATTGTGACAATAGCTTCTTGGTTTTGTATTTTCTGTTGGTGTTTTTTTCCACAATCACTAGAATTCAAAGAGGAAATACATGAACCTATAAAGCCACAATTTTCAGCCATTTTATAGCTTAGGGCGGATTCGAGCAGTGAGCGAAGCTATTATGGATATAGTAGTCAATAGGCTTATATTTCACTGGATCTACAATGCTGCTCCATTGGGTGGATTTATTCTCCCTGCTGAAAGGCTTCATCAAGCTTTTCTGCATGTCTGGAATATTTCCAGCCACAAGCTTTTTTTTTAAGATGGACGCAAACGCCACTAATTTTTATTCCTCCAAGAATATGTTTAAATTAATTTCACAGTATAGGTAAACACATGTATGAGCTTACATGCCCGGGCTATTAAATTAAACAAACCTCTGCGATCTAAGTTTTAAAACTGGGAAGTGCTTATATGTGAATATAATGGTTTTTGTCCCTGGTTATAGGCCTAATAATGTAGGTGGATTTTATCACCTAGTCTACTAGGAAGGTCGGTCGGCGCATTATTATTATTATTATTGTTCTTATTATTTGTGGGGAAAAAGCAGAAGCGAATAAGACAACATGGCTGCCAATCCTTGTAGTGAGTGGGAAGATGCGCCTTGTTCTAAGTCTTGTCCGCCTGCTTGCTTACTTCCAAGCGTGTCTTCCAGACGCGTGGGTCTGCATCGACCTTGCCTTTGTCCATGTGTAATAAAAGTATGCCTCAATCACAGCGGAGACAAACAGCTTCTCCATTTTTTGCGTCCGCCTCAGCAAAGCGCCACGAGACAAACCGTAGGCTTAAGCTGAATGTTCTTCCGTTAAACCAAGATTTTAAACAAGATTTCACTTTGTTTTAAAGCAGTTGAATCAGCAGCAAACAATGCATTTGACACGAAGACCCCCCCTCCCCCCAGGCTGCCTCTCTCATGCACACACACACCAATTTGATTTACATCATTGTGAATGCAGACGACGCTGCAGTTTAAAGCAGAGCGCACTCAGATTCATGGTAAGTAATACTACTAATAATAATATCTAACGAAAAGGCTCCATAATTCTTTACAGACACTGTGCAGCCCTCAACAGAATCACTTCAATTCCCTCCACTTCAAGAAAAACGTTACATTCAAACAGTTAAGAAGACTAATGTAGTCAACTATATTAATATACACACTTTAAAACAAGCTTCCCGTCCTAACCTTCCCTCCTTCGTTCTACTGATGCTACAAAGAGCCGGTCATGCTGCCACTGCCTTGCAGCAGGTTTTGGTGTAAACATTAATTTCAGGCCGCAGTAACATATTAACTCGGTCGATGTGTGTTAACAACCACGTGTTTTCACGTCTGGATTAGAAACAGTTGTACAGATTTGTATGTATTGAAAAGAGCGAGTTGAAAGCAGCGAGGACTCAGGAGATGAAACTTGTCTCCTGCAGCTCAGATAGCAGCAGGAGCTCTAATGGATATCAGACGGGGAGCTGTATCATTTCTCAACGCCGTTTCAAATATTTGTACTATTTCAGCTTGGCTTGATGTGGAACTATCTCGCCAGACAAACACACACTTAACGGTGGACACATGCCTGAGATAAGATCAGATAAACCAGCTCTCTGCTGTCGTGTTGCCTTCACTGTGAGACTTAGGGCTGCTTTTAATGTGTGAACTTGCGTCCTGACTAATTATTAACGTTAAGTGTGCATCCCTCTAAACTCGTCCCTCAGCCTCCTCTGTGTCTGTCCGCAGCTGGCGGCCTGATTGGCGCTTGGAAATATTTTCCCAACGCTTCCCTGTCACCTAAATCAGATGTGAGGTGGAGTTAGCCAGCCAAATATATAAAAATATATGAAAAAAGCAGGAAAGAAATCATGTCACTAGTCCCCCTCCCCCTCATGTCTTTTTTCCCCGTCTACAGAAATGAGGCGGGATATTGTTTTTGACACGGCGGCGGACAGAAGAAATACACATTCTGAAAAGCGGCGCGTCCTCGTTGCTGCTGCTGCTGCTGCTGCTGCCATTATTATGTGATGGGAAACCACGGAGCCGCTCTAATTTGGTTACACTAAGGTTTACACTGGTAGTGATGGCCGAGGAGGGACAGAGACAGTCAGGAGGGAGACAGGATGTGGAACAGCCCAGCTTTTGAAAATGTAATTGTAAAGTGATTAGGGGGGCACATCCATCCGTGCGTCCGTCCATCTACATATGATGCATCCATTTGTTAATAACGCTCCACACCCATTATTATTACTAGTAGTGTTGTTATTAATGGCAATAGTAGGCTAGTATTAAAGCTATTATTATTATTACTATTACTGTTGTGTCTGTAAAGTCTTGCAAGTTAAATTTGTATGTGTGCAATGTGTGTAATAAAATCATTTGATGCTGCGTTCACTGTCCTTTGTACTTATTGCATATATTACCAGCTGGCTTCACACCAAAACAACACCACACAAGCGTCACCTACTATACTGAGTTATGAGGTTAGCAGATGAAATTACGTTTACTTCATCCCACCTCCTCACCCCACCCCACTTGCTACTCACAGTGGGGAAAGGCTAAAAATGGCTCCACAACCAGTTCACATTGTCTCATTGAGTCGTGGCGTTTGATTTTCCGTAGGCTAACTGGGGAGTATAAACAACAAATGCAACTGAATCTGATACAACATAGGCCTATGATAATATAAACATCGAGGGAAAGGGGAGAAAACTATCATTCAATCCCTGCACCTTGGTTTTTTTCGCCACATTTAAAGAAAAGAGGAAGGTCTGATTCACGGTAAAGGGTTTGAGCAAAGGCAGACACATGACATGAATAATGGCGCCCAGCTCCATTCCATCAAGCACCCAAAGAAAACACACAAAAATGCCCAGTAAGAGGAGAAAAAAATGAACCTAGGGTTAGTGGATAGTGCTTTATTCATAGCGTTAACTGTTACCATACACAACTCTGGTCTCCTCTGTCCAAAATTAGCAGCAGCAAAGGACTCATAACTTAAATTTTTACTAATGTAGCCTATAACAATAACCAGGTTATTTAAGTGACATAAAGCCGGCTTAAAACCCAAAGCCCAGCTGATTCTCCAAGGATATCTTCTGTGAATTCAGAAGGAAGTTCAGTGATTGTATTTCACTTAAAACTGAGGCCTAGGCTTATTGTGTCTGAAGAAGTCATGAACTCGACCCTACGTCATTTAGCTCTTCAGCCAGGCTCCCTTGGCTGAGCTACTTGGATTCATTCGCACCTCCTGGCTAGATAGACGAGGTTTTCCTGGCGGGCAGGTCCTTTTTATGAGATTTTATGGCGACCGGGGCGTGCCAGTGTGCCAAATTTAAACAAATCTCTCGTTAATTGGTCGCCGCAGTAATTCAAGACTCGGAGCTACAGCCAGCTACTGTCATACTGAGCAGGGAAAAAAGAAACCCCCTCTAGTAATAATCAGGCGTAAAAAGGCAGAAGAGTGCGTGTGTGAGGGCATGGAGGCATGGAGGAAATAGGGAAGGAGGAGGAAGAGAGCAAGGCAGTGAAACCAGAGCCTGAACAGAAAGAGGGGGGAAACCGAAAGAGGAGCCGGTGGCGGCACTGTGGAGACCCCTTGCTCTGCGCCTTCTTCTTCCTCGTTCCGGTGTATCATCGGTCCATCGACCGTCATTTTCCTCACCATCTTCCAGCAGCGGAGGAAAAACATGATTCATCGCGGGCACCACCATAAACAACAGCACTCCCTCACAAACACACAATGGCAGCCCCGGCCGCACGCTGACACCCTGCCTCACTATAAATCAAGAGAAGTAGCTGGCTGGGAAAAAAAGAAGAGGCGAGAGAGGAAGAGTGAGGGAGGGAGAGGAATAGACAGTCGGGCAGATAGAGAGAGATGTAGAGATAGACAGGAGGTGATGGGAGAAAGATGGAGAAGAATATCCAAGTGCTTCTTAAAATATAAACAGCCATCGGCTAACATCGCAGTGCTCCCTCCCTCTCTCTCTCTCTCCCTCTAGTTTGCAGGCTGCACCGCTTCAACCTATAAACAATGGCTGATGATGATGGGTGGGGGGTCATGTGTAAACAACACGACAGCAACATGCACGATGAGAAAACACGGCGAAAGATAGATATTTGGGGGTATATTTACCACGATGTTAAAATAGCCTATGATTCACTGAGAGGGATGCAGGAGAAGGCGGCGCAACGGCAGAGAAGAGGAAGAAGAAGTGTGGTTTCCCCCCATGCAATCCCCTTCCTTCCGCAATACTCACGGTGTCCACAGCGACCTGCAAGACGCACGCCCGTCCAAATTTGTTTTATTGCAGCCTCCTTCTCTCTTTTCTCTTCCTCTCTCTCTCTCTGTTGGCGTTTCTCAGTGTCTCCTCTTCTCCCCCTCTCTCCCTGTCTCTCGTTTCTCTCTCTCTCCCCCACTCTCCGCTGCTATAGGGGGCTTGTATGTTTTTTTTTTCCTTTTTTGAAAGGACAGTTGAATTTTCCACGTCAGACACACGCACACGCACACACACACACAGAGAGAGACACACACAAGAAGAGCGCCACGTCTTACCGTTATTTTCCTGAGGAATACATATCTATTCTGCAACCTCTGCATTAATTATTTAATGAATCACGTGACGTGTTGGTTGGGGCGGGGGTGCAGGGTGTAGGGGTGGTTGTTGGGGGGGGGCATCCGTGCGCCTCTCCATTCGTGGGACGCGTCCGGACCCTCGCATGCAGGAGTGCTGTGTGAGCTTAAAAGATGCACATGAAAAGCAGTATGAGAACACTTCTGTTCACCTTTCAGCCTCTTCACCGGGAGGCGACCAGTGCTCTGTGTTAATGTGTGGCTGCTGTAAAGTGGAAGGTAAAGCCCGGGTAAGCCCGTGACAGACAGACACAGAGAGATAGACTGGTAAAAGATTATTGTCACCAACTATGTTCGTTTTAAAAAATGATTGCAAGCCTCAGACTCTTTCTTCGTTATTCCTCACTGTCATCTCTTTCTCACTTGGTCGTTAGTCGGCAGAACAGGGGGATTCCTTATTCTGTCTTGTCTTATATTTCAGTGGATCTGTTTCTATAGGAAATGTTTGATGATGAAGGCGCAAAGCAGAGACATATTTGATCTGACTATTGCGCACCACAGCAGAGTTTATTTCTTGTATGTGGAGTCAACTAAACTAATGTTTAACAAGCGCAAAGCCAGTCCTGTCAGTTGGAACAAAATCACGCCAAATTGCGTGTTTAATAATTATAATGCCCGTGCTCCATCGAAATAATAAAGAGGATGAAAATCAAAGAAAAAAGTGTAATATCTTCAACAGACTAGACTGTTATTTCCCCCCACTTCAATGTGGTAATATGAATCGGAATTTTATATTTTATTTGCTCTAAATTGTCAAACCGCGCGCCTGCTTCTGTCACATTACCAAGTTTTGGTGAGGTGGCTGCTGCGCGAGTTGTGATGCATTTAGGTTGCACGTCCGGAGGAGAATCAAAGCAGAGAGGGAGAAGGTAACACAAACAGAAAGGCATCGAGGAGGCAGAAAGAGTGCGTAAAGAAGACGAAGAAACAAGAGAGAGGGAGACAAAACCCCTGTCGCGAGGCCGCGCAGGGCAGCAGCCATAGGAGCGTCGGAGTCCTTCTGGCGCCCTGTCTCGCGGTTCCAGAGCTCGAGCCGCCCCTAGCAGAACAATGGAGCTCGTGACTCCAAGAAAAAAAAAATGCTGCTACTGAGTAGCTAACAAGAAACACTTCAAGGTCAGACAATGGGCCGCTGCAGCTCCAAGACACGCTGCGTCTCCTCACAGGAGCTGAGGGCTTTCAAAGACCATTTGGAAATCGCTGTGTATTTGCAACAACACTACCTGCTCCTCCAGCCCGCAGGCATGCTGAAAATACAACAGCTTCTCTTTTACACAGTTAAATGCAGCGGTCTTCATCAGGACTGTCAATTAGAACGAAACCCATTTTATTCAGGCAATTTTAAACAATGTGTAAGCGAGAGAAATAGTGACAAATAAAAGACGTTTAATATAAAATGCAATGAGCTAGAACTACTCGCTGGAGACCAGAAACGCAACGGGCCACTTTGATAGAGGTGGTTTCAAAGAATACAGCCTCTAACATGACGAAGGCATAAAGAGAATTAGCAAGAAGGGGAAAAAATGTAGTTCCAAACATATTATAAGTCAAACAGTTGGGTGGCAATTTATTTATTCCTTGTGTCTGAAGTGGTGAAAACGCACAGATAGAGCCCTTTAAACTTGTATTCCGAGCACCGCGGTGCTTCCCTGAGATTTCACCCTCAACAAGATTGAAATCAAACATTTGCGGTGGTGATGATGGCGTCTGTAATGACGGCCATAAATTATAGTATTCACAGTGTGAAACAACAGCTAAGATAAGTAGCAGCAGAGACCTGGGCCGGTCTGACAACAGCAATACGAATCAGCTCTGCAAACTTGGCACAGCCGCAAACAAAAGTCGCCTAAACATCCGAATTAGGATGGTGGACGCGGGTGGAGAGTGCGTCTTAGCCATAATAATCAACAGAACAGAAGACAAAGGAATGTCTTTTTGAGAAGCTGGACTAGCAGCTTCTTACATAGTAATACTTTAATATGATGAGAACAAAACAACACCCATTTCCTCCGTAACCTACTAGCAGGCCTACTCAGTGGATTTACATCACTGGCAACTAACGCTTATGGATTGTTAGGGCAAGGTTATTTGAACATTTATTAACAAGGTGCAGAATAATATCACAAAAACAATAAGTGAAGTGATGTTGGAGTTCTTTGAGATCTCGGTCCGTGATGGATTAAGACAGGTAAATTCTTCCTACTGGTTAATGATTAACTAGGCTTTGAATAAAAAGAAACTGAATATGTCTCTTTGTTAAGATGTAGAATGGCCGTAAAATGAAAATGTCCAAGGAGTGATTGAGTGGCTCTTACATTACCAAGGAAATTATTATCATTATTATTATTATTATTATTATTATTATTATTATCATTATTTTTTTAAGGAGAGGGGGAGATTGATGTACCAAACCTTTTACTGCGGCTCGTAAATCTGTCTCGAGACGGCAGCACGCGCACAACCGTTTTTTGAAATATATCCTTCTCCGGCGCGAGCTGTGAAGTGAGGTCTTTCCCGCGCTGTGGGATTACACCAGGGTGGGATTCTTTCAAAATAAATATTAAGGGCCAATAAAAATCAATAACCAATAACATTTGCTTAATTAAACGTGTGTTTGTAACCATGTGCGCGGCCGTTGCTGTTTTGCTTCTACTGGGGGAAAAGGCCAGGCTACATAATTGATCGCAGACTCATATTCTGTTCTTTATATAGGAAATGCAGAGGATTTCAATAAGCCGCTGAGGCTTTTTGTTGTCAGACCCACGACAGCACGCTGATCCTGTCATGTCTCATTTCAAACTGTCTTACTATTAACTTATCAAAAGGAGACAGCCTGCTGAGTTACACTATTGATCAGTTACACTTGAAATGTTTTACATTTGTACATTTAGCCACTTAGGTCGGGCTTTGGTTTCACATCCTTGATTTACGACCAACAGTATAAACAAACCTTTAGATGAGTTCTAACACATTGTTGCCACATTCTTTTGTATGCTTCGTCTTAATACTTGCAGGCTACTGCTGATATAAACTGTGGAGTTAACTGACATGTGATCTCTAATGCAGGCTACAAAACACTGCAGAGGCTATAATAAATATTTTATAGCAAACTTTCAATTTGCAACCGCATTTGACAGCCAGTGATGTCTGTTCTACACATTAAGAATGATGAATATGTAACAAGATGGACATAACAAATAACATAACTGTAGTGATTGTTGCATTTCCTTTTTTGTGCCTTTTCGAAGGCTTATTATCAATAAAAACTCACTGGGCGATTAAAAAAAATTATTGTTCTCGCCTCCAGTGACAGAGGTGTTTGGGCTTTTTATGTTAATATAATGTTTGTCGTTTGTTGTTTTTGCTCATTCCTCTAGTCCACTTTCTAAATCTAAAATATTTTAAGAGCCAGTTAACTGTGAACAGGCTAAATTTTCCAAATCGCAAACCTGATCTGTGTGTCTCAGAGTCTACAAATGATACAACAGCAGTCAGCGGCCAGTTTAATACTTTGGTATCAATACTTTGCAGGCCTAACGCCATTAGTCATCCTAATCCCTCCCATCTAACGGATATGAGCGCTGTAGGCCCATCACACTGTAGGCTCTGCCTGTATCCCTTCGCCAAATGCAGCATCACTGATAAGGCTGCTAAACTGCAGTATCACTTTACAATAAAGGAAACTTGCACAGGCAAACAAATGACAGGTATATATATATGACATATTAATCACGAAAGTGTAATTATTGTTATATAATGTGATAGGGCTTCACGACGCTTTAATAATCAAATCATTTAGGTTGTGATTCTACTGCACATTTGGTGTGAGACAAAAAAACAACGTCAGAAACAAGTAAGGTGTCACATTAGCAGGTAAAACCGTCATTCACTGTTTGAACTCCGGTGCCGTGGTTACTTTTTCTAGAAACAGGTTATTCAAGGAGTCCACTTGACCATCCTGTTGCTAACACAATCAGATGTCTAACAACGGTTAACGGGGTAGAGTTACACCAAGGGATTTACAGATTGGTTACAGTCTTTTACCATATCTAAATGTGCTACTATTACTTATTTAAAATAACTATTTGGTTATTTAAATGATGTTTTGGCTAACGCTGTGGTCCCAGCCACGCCACAGTATTGTAGACTGCTACTAAGAGTCTGGCCTAGAAAGAAAGTGTGTAAGCCCGTATTGGAACTTAAACTAATATTTGGCGTTCTTCTTTTAATACTTAATACATGTCTACTTTTTAAATGGCTCGCTTGCAGGCTCTCTCTCAAACACACACACACACACGCGCGCACAGGGTGCAGTAAAAGCCTGGCAGCCATATATCTCTTGTGACGACCTCCTCCTGCAGCCCGCGCGCCAGCACCGTGACCTCCTCGGCTCCTCGCGCTCTCCAGAATAATAAATTTCTCGGGCAACGCGGCTGCAATGAGCGCGAGGAAAGAAAAAAAAACGCGCGGGCGATTTGTCTGACAATTAGCAAACAGACTCCCAGGGCCAGAGAGAGAGGGAGAGAGAGAGAGAGAGAGAGGGAGAGAGGGAGGTCGGTGTTACTGTAGCTGTTTGTTGGTGTGTGGTGGTCATTGAACCAGTGCA